GCAGCAGTCACAGCGGGGCCAGGGGATAGCAGGTATGTGAGGGCCGAGGGAGGCACAGCCAAGGGCTGATTTGTCTCACGGTGCCAGCTGTGGAGGGTGAGATGCTCACAGGAGTTCTAGGGGCCCAGGCTGCTCTGGAGAGTTTTAGGCCAGTAACCCGTTTGCCCTTGACTGGCCTCTGATGTTGCTCTGAGTCCAGGGCTGAACAGCTGGACAGGTGACGTCCTCCTTTGCCCCCAGGAAAGGCCGGAAGGAGCGTCTCTCCAGGCAAGGCTTGCAAACCTGTGCTTCGGGGGAAGCTGGGGGCGGGGGCCACAAATCACCGGCCACAGCAGTTCCTTCCAGAAGACGACTTTTTCCCCCTATGCCACCCTTGCTTTAGTTTGTACTCAGAACAGCACTGGTGTCTGTCAGCTGGACAGGCAGAGGCTGTCTGGCTGCCCACACGAAGTGGCATTTGCTCGGGGAGCGCTTACTGACTCAGAGGGAAGGCGGCATGAGTCACGACGCGTTGCTGTGATGAGGGACAAGCCTGCTCCGCCAAGGTGTCTGTGCCGGGCCCGAGGGGATGACGGTGCCGGTGGCTCAGGTCCCTGACATCTCTGGTGCCAGAACGATAAAGTAACGGCAGAAACTAACCGCCGCCACAAACTTCAGTGCAGAGGCTGAAAGTCCGGGAGCGCCGGCGTGTGCAGCCCGCCAGCGGGGGACCTCAGGTGTGCCCCGCCCTCCCTCCCACCTCGGGGGATAGTCCTGGTGCCCACTTCACAGGGTCACTGTAACGAAGAGTTTGGGTGGACACGCCCAGCCCCTCCCAAGGCACTTGGCGCGCGGTGGTGCCCCGTTACCGGTGGGCGCTGCTATTCTCATTACTCGTGCATGCAGAACGTCTCACGTGTCTGCCACCAACTGGCCCAGGTGACCTGAGACGAGCCTCTGAAACCCAAGAAGTGGGTCTGGCCGGCGCCCTCATGCACCACACACCACAAGCCAGCCCTCAAGCAGGTTTGCTGGCTGAGTCCCACTTGCGGCCCTTTCTTTAAAAGCCCCCGGCTGGGAGTCTAGACTAAAATGGCTTTCTCTAGACTTCTCACAGACAAACTCAGGTCCCCTCTGGAGGACGCCACCTTGCAGCCAAATGTGAAGGCAGAATGCAGGGAAGATGAGCATCTGACAGAGAAAAGCCGCCGAACACACAAGGGACCAGGGCACCATGAGCAAGAAGCAGCAGTGACCACACAGAGCCGGATCCGCGCACGGCGTCGTCAGATGCCAGCACTCGGAGAGCAGTGGGAACTAGGCTTGTTCAATCTGATTCAAGAAACAGAAAAATGTCTGATTCAAGAAACAGAAAAGGAGAGAACTGGAAACATGACATAGGAGCAAGAGATTCTGAAAAGGCTTGACTAGATTTGAAAAAGAGCTGAACAGAATTTCTAGAAATTAATAAAACAGTGATTGTGTGACTTGGTGCAATCGCCTTGGAAAGCAGTTGGGCATCACCTAGTGAATCTGGAGGTCAACATACCCGGTCATTTCACGTCCGTGTTTTTCAGAGAATCTCTTGTCCGTGCGCACCAGGAGGTTGTGCCAGAATGCTTCTAGGAGTACCGTTTATAACAGCAAGGCAAACACACACACAATGAAAGCAAAAAGGATAAGAAGAACTTTGTGACAGGCAGAGAAGTCCAGTTCCAAGCGGCTGGCTCGTGAGGTAGTGAGCTCCCCGTCACTTGCAGGAAGGGGAGCTGAGACCGATGACTCCCTGTGGTGGTGCTGTGTTCTGAGGCCTCATTTTGTGCTAAGGTTCTGGCAGCTGCCTGATCACAGGGCCCCTGTCTGATTTTTCTCCCGAGACCCCAGCTTTGGGCCAGGCACAGAGCCCCTATTCAGTGGATGTTTCAATGAATGAATGAATGAGTGAATGAGTGAACACAGTGCCTGCAGTCATCTTACTTCCCTGTTGTGCAGACGGCCCTGCCACCGTGCTCTGGGGAGTCCCGGCCTGCACCCCGTCTCCCAGGCGATGTGACTCATGTGTCCCCCAGGCTGGAAGCCATTCAGCTCATGTGGCCCTGCAGTGGGGGTTGGTCCCCCTGAGGAAGGAGCTCACTGCAGCCCTCTTCCCCTCCCATATGCACTGCCCTGTCTCTCTGAGCAACTTCCGTCGCATATGTCCCCTCTCCAGGGTCAGACAGGCCTGTGGGCCACTCTACCGGGGCTGCCTCTGGGCCGTATGACAGCGAATGGGTTCAATGGGTTATATGTCACCTGGAGGTGAGCAACAGGGCGGCCGGGTAAGCAGGGTCCAGCTGACCCTGAGGACATCCTTCCCACAGTGGAGAGACCCCCCAGGGGAGCCCACGTGGACGCCCTGAGGGCGCCTTCCTCACCCACTGTCCCCTCAAGCTGCGTCTGGAAGGGGGACCCAAGGGAATTATCTCTGTCCGTCTCTGTCCTGAGGCCCAGGCCTGTGTCAGGACTGAGGCCCCGCCCTCCTGTCTTCAGGTCTAGGCACCTGTCCCCTCGGGCCTCAGGTGTCCCCTGGGGATTTGGTTTCTAAAGATGCCACGGGCCAGGGATGAGAGCCAGGGTTCTTTCTGAGTCATGGCCTGAAATTTGGACTTGAGCCTTGAGATTTTGGTCTCTTAGCAACCACCTCCCCAAGCTGGGCCGCCTCAGGCCTGGGTTATCAGTCGGCCCCGGGCAGCCACTGTGCCCCAGGGTGGGGCTGCACGTGCCAGGGATGAGGGGCTTTCCAGCAGGCCTAGGGGTCGCTGGACTCCAGGGGATTAAGAGCCCCATGATTCATGGTCTTCCCAGGAGCACCACCTGTGTCAGCCTCTTTTCTGGTCTTCCGAGATCGCTCTCCTGGGTGCTTTCGCAGACATCACAGGCTTGTTCTTAACTCATATTTCTCAGTTGTTTCTCCCCATCTTTCCATCCGCTGCACCCAGCTCTCCAGTCTAACCGACCCTTGCCTTCTTTCCCAGCCCAGTCTCTCTGCCCCTCCATACCTGCACCTGCCCAACTTCAACCTATGTATCCTCCCAGGCCCACTTCATATGCCACCTCTTCCAGGAAGCCTTCTCTAACCCCCGTGCAGAGGTCTCCCCTCACACAAGCCTCACTCCTGCTACTGTCCCTCCAGCGGCCCCATGTGCTCTGAGACTGAAAAACACAGCAACACACTTGCCCGGATTCCAGACGCTTGGGGGCAGAGCTCGTCCCCACTTAGACCTGGACTGGCCTTGAGTGCAGGCAGCCCTTTCTGTGCGCCTCAGGTTGTTCGTTTGTTCCTGAAGAGACCACATGAGAGAACGGAAGGCTGGGTGAGGGAGGCGAGACCTGGACCCTCGTTCCGGACCTCCCTCCTCATTTGTTCGTTACTGAGCAGCTCCTCCATGTCTGCAACGGTTTGGGCTCTGAGTCGTCAGCAAAACAGTCTCTGTCTTCACAGAGCTTGCATTCTAGTTTGGAAAGGTGGACGATAAATAATAAATAAGCAAATGGTCACGAAGCAGATGGTGCTAAGTGCTATGGAGACGTATAAGGCAGGCGAAGGGCGGGGGGGAATATGTGCCTCCAGCCACCCACCCACCCACCCACCCATCCATCCACCCACCCATACATCCACCTATCCATCCATGAATCCACTCAATGACTCATTGCCCCATCCTTCCATCCACCTAACCAGTCCTATCCACACATCTTCCCATCCATCCCAAAATGACTCACCAAGCTCCATGCCAAGCCTTGGGCTAGATGCTTTAACTCAGGCATGGCTTTTGGTAGCAAGGAACTCACGTTCTGGTGAGGGGTGTGGCATGGATGGGATTCACTGTGGTACAGTTTGCTGAGATCCTCAACTCACCTGCTTCAAGCCAAGTGCCACGGGAATAAAAGGGAAACTGTAACTGATTCTGACCGCAGAAGCCAGGCCTCTCAGAGGAGGTGTTTGATGGGGCTCCTAGTGGATGAGTAAGAGCTCACCACCAGGGCCAAGGGAAAAGCATTCAGGAAGAGGGAACAGCAAAGGCATGGAAGCCTAGAGAACAGGACTCACTCAGGTTATGCAGCACCATCTGAAACGCCTGCGGTGTCGGCTGAGACAGGGAGGGGAGGCAGCGGGGGCCAGACAGCAAAGGGCCTTGTGGCCCAGGCCCAGGAGGCTGGGCTTCATCAGAAAGGCAGTGGGGAAGGCATTGAAGGGCCTTAAGCAAAGGAGGAAGGGAAGAGTCTGAAGGCCATCTGTCAACCTGCAGAGCAAGGCTAGAGGGCGGTGGGGGAGGATGAGGATGCCATGGGGAGGATCTGCAGTGGTCCAGGCAGGAGAGGAGGGCGGTTTAGACTAAGGCAGTGGTAGAGGGGTGGAGGAGAGGGAGAGAGAAGGGCTTCAGAAGGGAGGGCGTGGCAGGGAGGGGCCAGACCTGTGGGTGGTGAAGCCAGCTCCAGAGGAGGTGGGGACCAGAGGAAGAAGAGGGGGCCCCAGAGCAGAGGAGGAAGTCCACTCAGTGGCTGCTGAGGGTGGCTCCCCTATCGTTTACCCTGGAGGAGATGCCAGGAGTGGCTGAAAAAGCAGTTGCTCCTTGGCTGCTGCAATGCCTTGTCCTCCAAACTCTTCTTCTGTCTCCCCTCACTCCCGGGAGGGCTGCGCTGCCTCCAGCTGCCCCTCTCTAACGGCACCACGGCCTTTCTCCCGACCTCTTTCTGTTCCCCCTCTCTGGCATTTGAGTGCTGCTAACTCCCAGACTGCCACCTCCAGCCAGATGTCTCACCTGAACTCCGGACAGACGGTGAACCTCACTGAACCAGTTAGTGCTGCATCTGCCGGAGCCCTGAGCCCAGCTAAGCAAGGGAGGGGCTTGTTTCATCTCATGGAAAAGTCCAGAGGTCGAGTTCAGCATCTTCGGTCCAACAGTATCATCACAGGCTCATCTGTCCTTCTGCTCTGCCCTCCTCAGCCTGTGACTCTTGATCCCCATGGTCACAAAGTGGCTGCTGAGATCAAGACAACACCTCTGCATTCTGGGCAAGAGGAAGGACACAAAGATCAAAAAAGGAAATGGCAGCTAACTCAGGTGCTTTTATAAAGCTTTCCCAGAAGCCATTCCCAGTGACTTTCACTCACACCTTTTTAACCAGCGTGGTGTCACCAGGCCACTGCTGACCATAAGGGAGGCTAAGAGAGCAAGTGGTTTAAATGGGCATGTTGTAGCCCTGACCAAAATCAGGGACAGTGGCTATTGGCTAGGCCACCAGCGGCATCTGCCACCACCTAGAGGTTCACTGTATCTTTGATTACCTCAGAGACAGGGGGCTCAGTCTCCCCTGGAGGGAGGGGTGACTGGCAGCTGGACTTGGCTCCGGCGCCGCTGACTCCTGCTGCAGGGGCAGAATCCGGCAATTCCGCGGATGCACCGGGACTCTCAGACACTTACCAAGAGCGCTGGATGCCGGTTGTCAAACGGGGCACATTCATTTCAACAATGTGTCTGGGTAACGATGCCTCCTCACACAAGGCCAGAGAGATTGTCTCCAAGACAGATTGCCGCCTGGACCACACAAGAGCTTTTCCGTTATCTCTGTGTAACCAGCCTCCGGGGGTGATAAACAGCCTGGATTGAACCGTTGCTCCTACAAATTGAACTCTGTGGGGCCGGAAGACCAGCATTACGTTAATTGTATTCCAGAATTTTCCATTTATCTCCCGCCTGCCACCCGAGTACCCAGGCAGATGTGTTTGTGCGCATTTATGAATACACAATTGTCGCTGAGCCCGCGCGGTGTCCTCTTCGAGAGGCTCCATGTGGACCCTCTGCCCTTCCCCTCTCCGTGCGGACTGACTTGAAGCACGGCCTTGTCCAGGAGCAAGCGCTTTGCCTTAGATACACGTGGGTTTGACAGATGCGAGGTCCCAAACTGGGGACGCGGAGCCCAAGGCGAGGGGCGCACGCTGGCCTCTGAGCCAATGACCATATGACGCTAATCCCAGCATGAACATATCACCTGCGTAACGGCTGGTCTATTTTTAAGCCACCACAGGGATCAGTTCCGGCCTGACGTTCTCCTCCAGCCCCGGCACGCTATTTGATCTGGGGCTGTTCCTGGAGAAGGGACGGCTTTGTATGGAGTGGGGGCAGGACTGGACGAAGACCTCGGCGTGGGCCACCCCAGCCTCGGGCCCGGGGGGAGTGGCTGATCCAGCACCCGTGATCCAGGGAGCTGCTGGGGCCATGAAGCAGGTCCCCGGGGTCGGGGGCAGTCAGCAGACGCCTCCAGCTCAGCACGGAAGCGCGACCCCGGTTCCTCTCCCTCCAGGCCTGGAGGCAGACAGAAGCCGCTCCGAGATGCTCCGAGAGCTCAGGCCCAGGGGAGGCCGATTCTGCGTGAACGGATCCCGTGCCCCTGCCCGCCTGCCAGCAACTGAATCTGTTCACACGTCCCCCGGGCATGGAAAGCGCCAGCGACTGAGGCAGCAGCGACTCAAACCGCGCGCGACCCTTCCGCTCAGAAGGTCGGCTTCCGGACATTTATGCGGAGCTTGGGGCCAGCTGCCCCCACCCTGCTCACAGGGTTAAAAACGTGCCAGGAACCAAGTGGTTGCCACTAAAAAGTGGTGGTGCCAACGACATGGCGACGCGCATTCTCCGAGTAAAAAGCTCAACACGTAACACTAAGATCTTGAAGGAGGTTATGAAAGAGTGGCTATAAACAGGGTCCCATTTTTCTTAAAAATGAGACATACGCACCACACACACACACACACACACACCACCCACAGTTGGACTGAGCAATGGTTTCTCAGACATGACACCAAAAGCACAAATAGTCCAAGAGAAAAAACAGCTCTTTGTCTTAAGATCTCCTTTAATCACGGAAATTAAAAACTTCTGTGCTTCAAAGGATACCACCAAGAGAGTGAAACAGCTCACGGAACAGGAGAAATCTTTTGCAAATCATTTATCTGATAACGAGATTTGAATTTAGAACATCAAAATAACTCTTGCAACTCAAAAAAAAAGACAACCCAGTAAAAAGTAAGCAGTTTGTGGACAGACCTGTCAACTTAAAAAAACAAAACAAAACAAAACGCACAACATGGAGCTGTAAGTTCAGTTTTATCTGAGGATTTACTGAGGACTATAGCCCAGGAGACATCCTCTCAGAGACCTCCGAGGAACTGCTCTGAAGAGGTGAGGTGAGGGGGGGAGGTCAGTAGGACAGTTTGGTGAAGGGGGTACGTACAGTCCAGCACACATCTCAGTAGAAAGGGGCTGCTAGTCAGTCACAAGGAGCAGACTTGAGTGCTTTTCTAGGTATGAGAAGATGCAAGCAATTGGGTTCATAACATTTTCTCCTGAAAATATCTCACTATCTGAAGGCCTGTTCGGCCAGTTTTCCCAGAGCACAGAGCCTCATTCCTGATCTTCACCCTGAATCCCTTTCAGGGTGTGCTGGAGGTCAGTGGCTGCAGTGGTTGTGACCTAATTCTTGCAGAGCCAGATGGTGAGCAACATTCCTTAGTTGGCAGTGTCCTCTGAAGCACAAAGTTTTCATCTTGATGAAGTCCCAAATTATCTGTTTTTCTCCTGGATTGCGTGTGTCTATGTAATAGCTAAGAAATCACTGCTCAATCCAAGATCATGAAGATTTAGCCCTATGTTTTCATCTAAGAGTTTTACAGTTTTCGCTCTTACATTTAGATCTTTGATTAATTTTTTGGTTATAGGGTGTGAGGTAGGCATCCAACTGCATCTGCAGGTAGATAGCCAATTGTTCCAGGACCAATTGCTGAAAAGGCTGTCCTTTCCCCAGTTAATTGTTTTGGCACCCTTGCCAAAATCAATTGGCTGTAATTGTGACAGTTCATTGCTGGGCTCTCAATTCTGTTCCATTAACCTGTATGTCTACACTTTGCCAGAACTGCGCTGTCTTAATTACTGTCACTTTGTAGTAAGTTTTGAAATCAGGTAGTATGACTCCTCCAACTTTGCTCTTCCTTCCAAGATTGTTTTGGATAATCTGGGTTCCTTGAGTGTTTGTATGAATTTTATATCAGACTGTCAATTTATACGAAGAAATTGGCTGGAATTCTGACGGGGATTGTGTTGGCTCTAGTGATCGATTTTGGGAGTTTTACTACCTTAACGATATTGATTATTCTGATCCATAAACATACAATGTGTTTCCACTCATTAAGATCTACTTTCATTTCTCTCAACAAGTTTTTGAAAAGTTTTCAGAGGAGAATAATTTGCACTGCCTTTGTTAAGTATAGTCCTAAATTTTTTATTTTTTTGATATTATCGTAAGTGAATTGTTTTAATTTTCTGATTGTTCATGGCTAGTGTGTAGAAATATAATTGATTTCTGTATATCGATCTTGTGTCTTGAAATCTTGGTGAACTCATTTACTAGTTCTAATAACTAATTTAACTAATGACTTAGTTTACCAGGTGGTAGATTCCTTAGGATTTTCTGCACACAAGATTTTGTCATTTGCAAATAGAGATATTGTACTTCGGCCTTTTCAGTGTGGATGCCTCTTTTTCTTGCCTAATTGCCTTGGCTAGCACCCATGGTACAATGTTGAAGAGAAGTCACGAGGGTGGACACCCTTGTCTTGTTTCGGATCTCAGGGGAACGCATGCTGCCTTCCACCACTGCGGGTGATATTAGCCGTGGGCTTTCTATAGATGCCATTTATCAGGTTGAAGAGGTTCCCCTCTAGTCCTAGTTTGTTGAGTGTTTCTATCTTTAAAGTGTGTTGGATTTTATCAAATACTCAGTCTGCATCTATTGAGATGGTTGCCTTGTTTTTGTTTATTATTTTATTGATATGGTGTATTACATTAGTTGATTTCTGAATGTTAAACCAACCTTGCATTACGGGGTTAAATTCCCCTTTGTCATGGTGAATAGTGGTTTTTATACGTTACTGGATTTGGGCTGCTGGTATTTTATTGAGGATCTTTGCATGTATATTCATAACAGATATTGGTCTACAGTTTCCTTGTTAGACTTTTCTCTGGTTTTGCTATCAGGGTATTACTGGCCTCAGAATGAGTTGTGAAGTGTTCTGCCTCTTTGATTTTTTTTTTTGAAAGACTTGGTATTAATTCTTTAATGTTTGGTATTCAACCAGTGAAGCCGGCTGGACTTGTGCTTTCTCTGTGGGAATTTTTTATTATTATTATTACTAATATCAATGTCTTTACTTATCTATTCAGCTTTTTTATTTCTTCTAGAGTCAGTTTTGATAGTCCGTATCTTCGAATTTGTCCATTTCGTCTAACCTGTCTGATTTTACTAGCATATGCTTTTTCATAGTATTTAAATGGTATCTCTTAAACTTTTCACTTTCTGTTTGTTTCCAGTACATAGAAATCCAGTTGACTTCTGTATGTTGACTTGTTAAATCACATCCTCTGTGGATAAAGACAAATCTGTTGCTTCATTTCACTCTTTTTATTGCCTTGTTACACTGGCTAGGATCCCCAGCCCAATGTTGAACAGAAGTGGGAGTAGCAGCCATCTTTGTCTTGCTGCTAAGTTTATAAGCAAGGCTTTCAACATTTCACCAATAAATATGACTCTTCTATAGATTTCTTGGTGGATACCTTAGAACAGATTAAGGAATTTCTTTATGTTCCTAGTTTTCTAAGGGCTCCTTTTGTATGAGTGGATATTGAACTTTATCAAATGCTTTTTCGATATCCATCAAAACAATCATATAATTTTCCCCCTCGAATCTGTTAATTTAACAAATAACATTTGAGTTTATCATATTAAATCTACCTTGCAGTTTGCTTGTTTTTTTCATATTTTGTTTAGACTTTTTGCATCTTTGTTCATGAGTGAGATTTGCCTGTAATTTTTCTTTCTCATATTATCCTTTTCCTTTTTTTATACCAAGTTAAACTGGTCTCACCAAGCAAGCTGGGCAGCCTTCCCTTCCCTCTTTCTCTGGAAGGGTCTGTGTCAGGGGAGCATCATTTTGCCTTACGTGTAAGGTGGAATTCTCTGGGGAAGCCATCTGGACCTGGAGTCTTCATAGGAAGGTTTTTAGTTACAGATTCAATGGTTATGAGGTTATTCAGA